AATCATATAGATACTATTAGTTTTATTAGTTAGCATCCGTTAAGGTTTTTTTTTTTTTAAAGCATTCTCCTAGCCTTTTATGGTTATGATGGTAGCATGCTTGCTGACATTTAGATCTTCCCTAATGCTCTATTTATCTTGTTTATTCAGTTATTTTTCCAGCCTTTTTTATGGTTCTTAAGTTCCTTTTTACTTGTTTAAATTTTATTTTTCATTGCAATCAACCTAACCTTAAACTTTGTTCTCTTTATTTTGCATAATTCAAGTTCGGTTATTATTGCTTTCCTAGTTTTCATTTTAGTTTATTTCAAAAATATGTATGCCTTGTTAAAACTCTTTAAAGCTTAAGAAGAATGGCCTTGAATGCTATTTTAATGTCTTAACCACATGCTTTAATGGCTTGATTCTTTTATGTGATTTATTTTTCTTTCTATTTACATTTCTAGCCTTTAATTTTCTACCCCAATTTTTATTTTCTATCTTTTAATTTTGTTGTTGTTTATGTATTGATTTTATGTTTCCATTATATTATAAAATCATGTCTGAGTGTTAGATACATGTTTGTTTAAACACCTTAGCAATATGACTCATTTCATGCAATTTTCCTTTCATTTTCATGCTTTTGTCATCACCTTTGGTTCGATTTTTTGTGTTAGTTACCTGCACACTTTTTGTTCATTTTTAAGTCTATTTTGATGTTGTGCTTTTGGTTTTCATCACTCATGTAGGTATTCTTAGTTCTATTAGCTAGCATCCTTTTCGGTTCTTATTTTCGAATATTTCCATTACCAATTTTGCATTCTATTTTGACTACTTTCTGGTCAGTTTTTTATATTGTTCACCTACAGGTTTTTGGTTTATTTGCAAGTCTATTTTAAGGTAGTGCATTCAGCTTCTACAATTCCTTTAGGGTCTTAAGCTTTTTCTTAGAATTTTAGGTCATATGCCTTAGTTACTTTGCATTTTAAGCTCTTGGCTTACATGCTATTTTCTTGCCAATTTGATTCAATTTTTGTTCTGAGTTTCCTATAGGTCTTTTTTTCCATTCTGAATTAGTTTGAATCTATGCAAGCTTTTTATATGTTTAGTTATGGTCCATGCATTTCTTGTTATTGTTTAAATCAATAGGTTATTATAGCTAGTCAAGTTAAATGGCATTTAAATTTTTTATTTTAAATATGTTTTTATCTTATTTTCTAGCGTACATAGGTTGCATTTTTAGTTCTTGACAGCTTTTAATCATGACTCTTAAAGTGTATTTAGTTTAGCCTTCTATTTAAGTTGGTTGGCAATTAATTCTTTAGAGTTTGATTGATTGTTTTCTTTTTGTAATTGGTAGGTTTGTTTGGCTTTCATGCTAATTTCTAGGTTTTATTTCGGCTCTTAAACTTACCAATTGATGTTAAATTTCACTTTTAAACATGTTTGATTTATTGGTTATGTCTTTGTTAATTTTTACTTGTTTGCTTGTTTATATAGTCTTAGTTTTAGTTCTTTTTTTTTGCTTTTTTGTTAATTTTGGTTCATGCCATTTAGTTTAAGTTAGTTTAATTTGCATCTAGTTATAATTTAGGTTAAAAAACGATTTAGGGCTAAGAACTTTCTATTTTTAGTAACTTGCCATTTTTAGTAATTTCCTTTTTTAGAAAAGTTTCCCATTTAGTTAATTTCATTTTCATAATTTGTAGTTAATTAGGTTTATTCATATGGCAATTTTAGGATTAATTTTAGGAAAAATTTTAGGAGAATTAGTTTTTAAAAATTTCAATCTTAGGCCAAATATACTTTAGGTGTAAAACTCAGTATTTATCTTTAGATCGGAAATCCCAATCCTTAAGGAGACAATATTTGAAATACTTTCCATCTGTTTTACTTGTACGACCTGTACACTTATAGTTTCCTTAGCAACCTCCTTTCAAGTTTTCAAGCTTTTAAACCATTGTCTTTCGCTTGTAATTTCCTTCTCCATTCGATTTTGACAATGTTTCCAGCACTGTTACAACTTTTGTTTCCCATGGTTGTTTGCGCTTGATTAGGATAGTAGAAGGACGCCATTGGGTAGAGAAATCCCTTATTAGGCTCTTTGCTACTTAAATCAACCATTTCACATTTTTGTTTGATTTATTTTCATGTTTAAACTCTGCTGCCATTTGGATTTATGTTTCCAGCTTACATGTTCAGTTTATAAAGGCTGTTATCCTTAATTTAGTTGCTTGTTATTTCCTTTATTTTCATGTTATCTTTTTATGTTTAGCTTTTCTTTGCATGTCTGTTAAGTTTTTCTAACATTTTAGTCCTCACGTGCATGTTAGTTATTCATGGTAGCTAGGCCAAGAGTCATGTAATTCATTTTAGGTTTGTTTTCATCCATTTTTATATTACTTATGTCCATCCCTTTTTACTTTATATCATTTATATTTTCATTACATTTTAGGTTTTTTCTTTTAAGGTCATGCTATTAGTTTAGATTTAATTTAGATTCATACCTTAGGATTTTAGTATCTTTCATCATTTAGTAATTTTTTTTAGGTTAAGCAGTTTAATTTCATAAGTAATAGTAATTAGGTTTAATTTACTTGGTTTATTTAGGTTTAATTTGGTAATTTAGGTTTAAAATTAAACTCTCTTTCCTTTAGGACCATAGCTTAGGTGTTTGATTTCAATACTTAATTCCAAGGTAAAAAATTATCCCTATCAAGATAATATTCTTACCCTCACTATCTATATTACTTGAATGACCTCTACGCTTGCAAATTATAGTCAACAACAATCTAAAACATAGATAAACATTTTCTACTAAATAGAAAAAGTAAAAGCAATTATGGGTAGCAATTGGTAATTAAGTAATAAGAACAAAAATTAATTTATAGTATAACACCATAAACGGTCGAATTAAATCGTAACATCATGGCATAGTCAATTATCTCTTGGCTTAGGTATATAGGGGTTGTTAATCATTGTTGTAAATAAGAATACATATAGAATAGCATAAATTAGTTGTAATGTTATTTACAACAATATTTATTTTGTTTGAATCAAAACATAAGCAAAGGATTATAGGTTGATAAGAGTGAAAATTGCATAAAGTCTTTTTTTCTTGCTAATCACATGACAATTATGAATATAACTAAACATTACAACAGTAAAAGCCAATCAAAGTGAACAATAAGCACGTTACGCTATAAAGAATTTCGAAAACATATAGATCTACAAGAACCTAGATGGCCTTGTAAAAGAATCATCATACAAAGAAATCATTTTATTTCATTTGCTAACATAATGCTTTTATGATTGTATAACGAATTATAGTATAAAGCATTATCATATGATTATGGCTTTCACATAATTCATCTTATTCCCATGTTACTTTGACAATTTTTTTAAAAGATGTAAAATCGAGAACTCTTCAAACATCCATGTTTGTAGCATTTCAAAAAAAAAAAAAAGTTTAAATGGATTAAACGGAAGAAACCATAACAATATATATTTTTTCTCAGCAATGGAAAACAATCTCTGTTAAGAATTAAACAACAAATCTTGCTTTTTAAAAGAATGTAGAGCAACTTACTTAGTCGACTGAAACAACTCCACTGTATCTACTAAGATCCCAAATTCCTTTTGGGTTTTCCTTCTGCGATGAAAATGGGCAGCGAGACCAAAGGAATGGGAGCTGACAAGGAAGCTGAGAGTGGTCAAGGTACAATTGAGCTACAGCGGATCATAGCTCGAACAGAGATTCTAAAAGGTGACCCGGATAATGTGGAGCTGGCAAGGACAGAAATGGAAGAAGGAAATGCAGAAGTGCTGAATCTCGAGATCGTTGGGGAAAAGGACAAAGAGGGCTGCAACGCAAGACTGTTATATATGCTGACCTATCTATTTGTAATTAGTTGACTAATTAACTGTCAGAAGCTACAAGAATATTGGATCCCTATATTTCGTGTGAATTGAGACAATGATGTAACCAGAGAATATTCACGAATGAAATATGATCTTCCTCTTCTTTATTATGCTCATTTCTTCTTTTGGTCTTATTCTCTTTTCTCTTATGTTACTTGAGTCTATTGAATCTGTAACACCTTCTTCTTGATTCGATTGTAGATCAAAATTCTTTTAGTTTTTCAAAGGGGTAGTTCAAAATAGGGGAGTTATTTTGATGGGGAGTTCTCTTCTAATTTTTGCACTAGGAAAAGGCATGAAGAACAAATTGTTTTGGGGTAAGGGAAGAAGATTTGGGATTTTTTTAAATTGAAAAGGATTTTATACATTAAACCCTCGTGTTCTTCGAAATAAATGTTGATGATAATTCGTTTTTTAGGAATTCAAAAGAAAAAAAAACCAAAAAACAAAAGATCTAAATGAAGAGGAATGCAAAACGATCGATTTTTATAGATTGAAGGATAAAATTCTCTGGGTCTAGATTCCTTCTGGAATATCATTTTTTGTTCTTAGAAACAGACCTTCATTCTTTTTGCTTATCAACATAACATTAAACATTAAAAAAAAGGACAGATTGCATAAAAATAGGCTGAGTCAGCAAATAAAAGACACGCTTATAAAAAGATGAATCAATGGGACAAATATCATGATGATAGCGATATAAAAATAATATATTGTTCGATTATTTTGGAATGATCATCCAAGAAATCCATCTGATAAAGGCATGTGAGATTGAAAATTTTCTGTTATGGGTACTAGGCCCACGCTCTTGACCTCAGCCATTCCATCCACATTGTGCTCCTAGTTTTTAGCTTTTGCCAACTAAAAGTACCAACAATCAAAGTTAGATTCGCCACAACAAAAAAAATGAAATATATATATATATATATATATATATATATAAAACATAACTTAAAATTGATAAAATTATATACGAATTCAGTAAAAATTAAAAAATATATTTTATATTTTATATCCACAAATTATAACATAATAATTTTTACATTTTATATATATTAAATACAAAATAAAAACGACAATAATATACATATTGCAAAATCTACAGTAAATATTATATTGAACCTCCCACCCCTTCAGTTTTGCAATCCACAAAACAGTCAAAAACCCACAATGCCAACAATTCCAAGCACTATTTGTTTTAAATTGAAATTAATACATTCCATCGCTGTTTGCTTCTACGACTGAAAAAAAAACACACGCATGAAATAATCATTATTAACAAGGTAATGAGGGCACCACACTATTAAACTGACAAATTACAACTGTTATTCCTATGAAACTAAGCTTCACAAGTATCTCCGATATTTGTCTGTTAATAAAACAGATAAAAATCGAATTATTTTCAGGCTTGAATGAGAGCAGAAGGGATGAACACAATAGAGCACAACCAAGAGCTCAACTACACCTTTTATCAAGCAACTATTAGAGGCTTTGCAGCAAACTTGACAGAATCATAATTATTTATTTGACCAAATTCACCCTGTTTCACTGGCATTCACCTTTGAGGTGGATCCACTGTTCGAACATTAGCACCAGTCATTCCTTCAATGCGATCCTTTGTAATCTCCACAAAATGACCCACTATTTCGTGGAACTGCTTTAAACCTGACAGTGGGAGAATGATGGAAGACCGATCAGAACCTGCAACCTGCAATTGTTGAACCATCCTATTGTCAACCTAGTCCATGCCTACGCCGTAATTCAGTTTATTAAAAAAATATGAAAGAAAAAGAAAGAAATATGAAGAGAGAGAGAGAGAGAGAAAGAATACTTCAGATATCCGCAAGAAATGTCCCCTGTTGTTGCTCCCAAGATCAAAGAAAAATCTCTTTTGATCTGCTCTAATCACCTTTGAGACCCCCATGTTACCAATTTCATCCTGTGCTGGCAATTCAACTGATCTGTCTACATTCAGTTCAGAAGTTGAGGCAGGCTGGCTATGTCCAGATATGAAGCCAGCCCCTACATCATCTGAAAGCCCAACAAGATGTTCTGAAGGTTCAGAACTTTGCTGTTTCAGAAAACCCATATAGACACAAAAACAAACAGATTGACATATTAAATAAGACTGAAAAATGAAACTGATATATGACAGCAGCGAAACTAGAAAGGAAGTAGCATAGGAATGTAGAACAAAGGTACTTGATTAGGCAATATGAAGAGCCTTGATGCCTCGTTGATCTCTGCCAAAATGTTCCTGAATGCTGCCCACCCTTCATCCCTGGTACTTCCTGCAGGCACAATAATGGTACTGCGGTTTCTGCTAACAGATGCTTCAGATACCTTCACAGATAATTTTATTAGAGAAACAGATTTTGAAAATAGTGAACTCTTGCTTCTGACTTTTCCCATCTTCCAAAGAGTTCAGAGTTAATGCAAAGAATCAAAGACAAGATAAAAACACTACAAGAAAAAAAAAGGAAAAAAAAAAAGTTAAAGGAATTACATGGTTACAAACATGCATTTATGCTTCATTCTCATAAATCATTGCTCTAAATAGTCTAATTTCTTTTTCATTATGTCCACTCAAAACTATGCGTGCATTCGTGCATATGTATGTGCACATGTTTATATATATCACAGAAAATACAATAACCACCATTTACAAAGTTTCCAAAAGAATTTATGAGAATGATTTGATTCTTCTGCATCCGTGCATGTACGTGCACATTTTTAAATATTTCACAGAAAATACAATAACCACCATTAAAAAAATTTCCAAAAGAATTTATGAGAATGATTTGATTGTTCTTACTTCAAATTTCTTCACTCTTTTATAACCTTTGCAGGTTATATATTTATTTATTTTGGACAAAACCAATTGAACATTCAAGTTCAGAAACCTATGTTGCTCCAGCTCTTTGTTTTCCTTAAAATAGCCTTGTCTGACACATACCCAATAGATATCAACATGCAGACCTACCCTAGAAATGTAAGGGAAAACTTAAAAAATTGAATATTACTGTCTTTGATGCATACCCGTATCTGGTACTCAACATCAAGTCATAGTAACACAGGCGGAAACAACCTCAGCAAAGCAAGACCAAGGCTGCCCAGGTTCTTTCTTTTTCATAAAGCACTTAGAAGAAAACAGATTAAAATTGATTTCTATGTTTCTTTCCCTAAAAGAAATAATCAAGAAAATTACCTATCAGAAACCAATCACAGTAAAGTGGAATTCATAACAATCTAGTACAATACCCTTCCCTACTTAACAATCTAAACCGCTGAACTCAACTTGGATGACTTTACCAACACTCAGCCTGGACATCCACTTAAACACAATCCCATTAACTCCAGTTTCCCACCAGTGGCATTTCCCCACATGTTGACCATATAAAAAGTTATAAGCTTAATGGAAATTTGAAATTTCTCCTCAGAAACGGTAAGTACATATTTGAAAGTTTCTCCATCCATTTTCTCTTTTATTTTGTAAATTTAGTTCCCTTCCAGAGGCAATTCGAAGATAAGGACTAAAGAGAAGATACATTTTTACCAACATCATTAAAGCTATACTCAACTTTTCCCCAAGACTCTCATAGGAAGTTCTCACAAATAAGCATTAGAGAACCTCAAGATTCCAGCAAGTTCCCCAAAGAAGGTGGTAAATACGCATTGTAAGGCAAGAATCAATGACATGTTGCAGTGCAAATAGTAGATAATTCCCTCCATGCAATTTGGAAATGTGATGGCTCTTAAATTTTTTGGACACGTGCAACTCTATATGTCAAACATCTTTTACCATGCAAGCATAATCATTTGATTGATTTTATTAGAAGATTTATCATGTGGAACTAGATTTTTTGTTTTTAATCATCTCCATGGCATTGTTTGTCAAATTGGGGTGCCAAAAGGGTGCTAATTCTTTAGGAGTTCAGAATAGTTTTGGCATATAATAAGCATATTCTAATATTAATCATTTTCACGTCTTATAAAAATGATACTCTTCTTTTCTGCAGAGCCAGATTATGAACCTTTCTGTTTTCAACAGTTGTTTAGTAATGTACTAGCCACTTTACTTCCATTCGGAAAAAGTTGGTGTAAAAATGAGTACAAGGAGATTTACCAATTTGTTGGTTCATCATAAATTTCATATCCAGTAAAGAAGATTTGTAAAATGAATTGCATTCTACAAATTTGAATACTTGGTAGAATAATCATGAAATAATAAGGCTCGACAAGGTAAGAGAAAATTCATCTTTACCAAGATTCAGAGATTGTCAAGTATGGAATATTTCCACTATCAAAGTGTATTGTTTAGAGTATAGATGAGAATTACTGCTTATTTTGAAAATTATGTAAGGATCCTATGGTCATCTAGATTCAAGGTAGGGGAACAGAAAACCAGCTGTAAGTTCTAGTTAAGATTGGCAGAAAAAGTATGTGAAGTATACTTTGCTCCCAACCAGTTGCTTACACTTATCATTGTAAAATTTGTATCTCAAGCTGCAGAAGGGAAAAAGAAAAGCAACAGTATGAAGAAATTCAACAGATTCAAAGGAAAAACATGTTTAAGTAGAATTTGTCCCCAAAATTGATTGCTTACAATTCCATCATTGATGTTGTCCACTGTTTTATGGAAGAAGAAGAAAAAACAGTGATCCCTCGGATTCAAAGGACTGCCCATTCAGGGTTGCACGTCACCCTTTTGTTTGACATTTGGATCCTTTCTGGGATTCTTTGTGGTATCAGTTGGGTCTTCAATTGAATTTCTTTAGATTCATTTTAGTTTTTTTTAACCAATTTTGAAATCTTAGGGAAAGGAAAAGGAACTTGCATCTGGGGCTGTTCTATCACATGTGAATCCACCTGTTCATCCTTAATATTTCATGTCTGAAAATCAAGGAAGCTTGAGGCTGTCCAAGTCTATGGTTTTGCCAGTAATAGATTCAACCTTTTACCTGTCTCCTTTATCAGCGAATGCATGTAACAGCAACCTGTTTTGGCTTAAAAAGAATTAAGTTTGCGGTTGGTTTTTCCTAGAAGTTTTGCTATGCTGCTGGGGCTTAAGAAACAATTTCTCTAGAAAAGGGAAACCATCAAATAACAACCCATGGTGTGGGAAGCATTTTTTTTTTTTCTAAAAGAAATAGCAGGAAAAAATCCTGATTGGCTAAGGTTCAATCATGTAAGGATGACTATGAGAAGTTCATATCATGGCAAGTTAGATGAAGAGATTTATAGTTATCTTTTGATATGAAAATAGACAAATCTAGGAAACTTCTGCTTTTAAAGTATCTTGCACATAGTAAGATGAAATGTGGAGAATCAACGTTTTTCCACGCTCATTAAGTTGCTTTCAGGATGTGCCTTACTAAGGCTCTTAGATCAATAAGGCAATAGAGAAATTGACCCCAATGACCATCTCAATTTGCCCAAAACTCTACATGAGCAATCCAAATATACTACAGAGGTCAACAAGAGCAAAACCAATGTGTCTCAAAACAACCTGGCCCAGATCCAAACCCAATTACTAGCTACTGGCTAAGTAATGTGGTAAAAGTTGAGTCCAAAACAAAAACGTATTCACAACCCAACATAGCCCAGAAAGAATTGACTCAAAGGTAACACTGAACTTAATCAACCTAAAACCCGAACTGAACTAAGAAGTCAAAACCAAAAATGCCTAAATCCAAACCTAACCCAACCCATTCAATTGTGATCTCTAATTAAAGGTAAAAATAACAGAGTTTTAGAAGGATAAAATAAAAGTTAGAAGAGAAAATCTCAATTTTTAAGCAATAATCAACATGATACAAGCCAATTAAAGATGCAAGGTTAAAGCAGCCAAAATTCTTTCTTTTTTCTTTTTTTCTTTTCCATCAAGCAGCCACTGTACTCAAAAGGAACTACAAACCAAAACCACAGGAACTAGATATCACCATTGTGGTGCTAAGAAATAAAGTCATCAATGCCAGCATGAATGGATAAGAGAATCAGGAACAAAAGACCAGACTTCGTGGACAAGGAATATTTAATTGGAGGAGCTAATATCATTCTTATGGAAGGAAAATCCTGAGTTGCAACAAGCAATTCACTTGAATGCATGGAAAAGGAGATGATGCAAGGCTCAAGAAGCCACATTTACCATGAAAGAAATATAAACCAAAATCATTGTGCTTAAAAGTTAGATGGTAGGAGCTTCAAGGAAGCATTATTGTTGCATGGAAATAAAATCATCAATTGAAGCCAGAAGGCTGACAGAATCAACATGACATTTCAGACAAGAAATAATGAATTGGAGGGGCTGAAATCATTCTCATAAAGGAACATTTGGAGTTGCAATAAACCTTTAATTGAAGGTAGGAAAAAGAAGTTTCATTAGCAAGCAACAAGGTAGCTTTCATGCAAAAAACAATCAGCAAATCAATGTCTCAAGGAGTGTTAAAATTGACTCATCCCAGCAAAAGGGTTTTGCACTATAAAGCTTATTAATGAATTCGTATGCTCATGGTTCCAGTTCAAACATGAAAAAAGTTTCTAGAATCTGCTCTCGACATGTTAGAGATGTACACTTAAACATGAGGTACCAATTCCCTCCACTACCAGCTTTCAGCAAGTCATTCTAATCAAGTCAAATTTCCTAGCTCATAGTTTTGCCCTACTCCAGGACCAGTTAGTCCAGCAAGTTCCTGTTCAGCTATCCCCTTTTCTAGCCAAGAAGAACAGAGAGTTGAAGAGTTTTAGGAAAGCCCACAATTAGTCTTCAACTTGATGATGTTAAGCCTTCAATCGCTTAATTAGAAACCATAACTATAGTTGATAAATGGCAACATCTATCATTCACCGCTCTTGATTCTAACAAGGATAGGGGTCTTGATAGCCGAAAATGGTCAACATTTACAAAAGCTGGTTGAAGACCGATACCAAAAGGGTCTAGCATTCAAAGTGCTATCAAGATAAGACTTAGGTCTAATACCATCATAGCTAAGAGTGCCATTCGCCAGCATCATCCAATTCGAGAAGTGTTCCGAGCCCCAAAACCAATTCTACTAAAACTCAGACATCATATACAGGAAAGAGAAGATTGGAGCAAAATTTGAACCTATACATTATTCCATGGGAAAATTTTAACATAAAAAAGAGAAACAACACGTGGAATTTTGATTCGAGCAAAGAAAAGATAAAAAGAGGTGGTCAAGTGGATGTAGTAGTACTAGCAGTAGTAGTAGCAGCAGCAGCAGCAGTAGTAGTGGTAGTAAGAGCGTACCTTCAAGAAACGACCCCTCCGGTTCTCGCCAATGTCAAAGTAAAAGACTTTAGTGTCGAGCTGCAATTCCTTACTGAAGAGGTCGTGATCGTCGGAGTTGACGTAGTAATTGAAAAGATCGAGGAACCAGGAGATGCCTGAGGAAGGGACGATGATGGTGGACCTGGTAGCCGATGTCTTTTCGGAGATTTTCAGGTAACGCCCGCGCGGGTTCTCCTTGAGATCGAAGTAGAACAGCTTGTGTTCTACCTGGAGGGTTTTGCAAACCAGCTCCACGTCGTTTCCTCCTCTTTCTCCTCCTCTGTCTGTTCCGCCGCTGGTGCCGCCGCTGCCTCCTCCTCCAGAATTCCCTTCCATTCCCCTATCTTTTTTTTTCTTTTTTTTTTTAAATAAAGTATACGCCTATCAGCATGCTCCAACGTGGGACTAACTCAGCAAGGGCAAAATAGGCAAGCAAATCTTAGGAGAAACGTGAACACAGATTGGTGGCGTCGTAGTTTCCGAAAAATCTGATGTCATAGAGAAAAGAAGGTAAGAGTACAAACTTTTTGCCTTCACATCCATCTGGACACAGGAACGAGGCAAATTAATACCAACCAGGAGGGGTTTTCTGTGTTTTTTTTTTTTTTTTAATTATATTATATTATTATATTATATTTATAGCCGACAAGGAGGGTTTGTTGTTTTTACAAGAAGAGGGAAGCCTTTCATTTCGCACCTGCTGTTTCACTCCTTTAGTCTTAACAAAACAAAAGCCGCCTCAGGTCGTCAGGCCCAGCTCTGTTCTTTCTCTTCTACCATTTATTTTTTGTTCTTCTTGCCCCTTTCTTTTTATTTTGTTGCTTCCCTTTTTTGAGTCAAATCAATGGCAGAGGAGAAGAAGGCCCAAGCTTCTGGGGTTTGGCCAAAGGTTAAGCCTTTTGCCAATGGTGGTGCCTCGGGTATGCTTGCCACCTGTGTCATCCAACCTATTGACATGATCAAGGTTTTCATTCATCTTTACTTTCATTTCTTGCTATATTTCTGGTATATCAGCTCTTTCTTTTTCCTCTCAGTGTTCAAAACATGCTACTGTTAAAGCCAAAGATGGGTTTTTTAGATCTTGGATTTGCTGCGATTTCTTTCAGAGTTTTTGTCTAGTTTGGTTTGTGATTTCGCTTGGTGTAGGTGAGAATCCAACTGGGTCAGGGATCGGCAGCAACTGTCGCCAAGAACATGCTTAGAGAGGAGGGTTTTGGTGCCTTTTACAAGGTTCTCTTCTACAACTTCATTAAAATTTTGATTTGTTATCCAATGGTGTATATGACACTATTTATTGATATGGGTTGCCAAAATATTGGAATTTAGTGCTGTTTCATGGGATGATATGTGCTTCTTGGTTTTGTTAATATAGTATATGAAAGATTATATTGGCAAAAATGCATTCTTGCTTTTAATCCAATTTTCTGGAGGGTAGACTTTATACAACTCAAAACTGCAAGTTGCCTATATGTAGAGATAGAGGTTTTATCTTACTGAATTTGTTCTATTTTCACATTTCTATAATTTGATAGATGTTCTGAGTTGAATTCCAAAAATATTTCTATCATTCATTAGTCTGTCTTACTTGTGTTATTTTGGCAGGGCCTATCAGCTGGACTTCTTAGGCAAGCTACATACACTACCGCCCGACTGGGTTCATTCAAGTGAGTGTCTCTAAGAATGGGATAGAATGTAAACAGTTGTGGGGTTTTTATTTTACTCTTCATGATACTTTTTTTTTCTAATGATCAATAGTTTCGATTCTGTAGCATAAACTTTATTTTTGACCATGTTAACATTTGATCTTTTTTTTCCGCATGATGTATTTTGTTTCTGATTCTAAATTTGAATTTATTTATTTTGGTTCCGATTTAGCTCTTGGTCTAATTTCCATTGTTTTCTATAGAATGTTGACCAATAAAGCAATTGCAGCCAATGATGGGAAGCCCCTACCTCTATACCAGAAGGCTTTATGTGGTCTGACTGCTGGTGCTATCGGAGCCTGTGTTGGCAGCCCAGCTGATTTGGCACTTATCCGAATGCAGGCTGATGCCACTTTGCCTGCTGCTCAGCGCCGAAACTACTCAAATGCATTCCATGCTCTCTATCGTATTGTTGCAGATGAAGGGGTTTTGGCACTTTGGAAAGGTGCAGGCCCTACTGTCGTCAGAGCCATGGCATTGAACATGGGAATGCTTGCCTCTTATGATCAAAGTGTTGAGTTTTTCAAGGATTCCCTTGGCTTAGGAGAAGTTGCTACAGTGCTTGGTAAAGACTCTTTTCAAGTAGTGTGGATGTTTTAACTATTCTAAAGTCTTTCATTATATTTCCTCGCTAAAGAAAAAGTACTAGTCTAGGTTCTAAATTGTTGAGTGAACATAACTTATCCGTAACTGATGCTTTGTTTGTTTAAGCAAATAGCAGAATCATCTGTTAGAAGTTATTGCTAATGTGAGGAAATATTTTTGAAACATGTTTTCTAGTTGGAGTAACTCGCGTAATTGGAGTTTATATTTTACATTTTTTAGATTAAGCTTTAAGCACATACCTTTTCAATCTTATATGCATAAATGGTTGGTCTGAATGCAATAATTTGCCCTAACAACCACAAATTCTTGGTACTCAATTTCAGAAGGTAAAAATTTTCCTTGAAGCAATTGACTTGTTTAGGCATTTTTTCATCTAGGTGTTTGCTTTTTGCTTTTTTTTTTTAATAAAAAATGAATAGAAGGAAAAATCAAAAAGTAAAAAATAAAAATGAAGATAAATAAAAACCAAAGACAAATAGAAAAAAGCTAAAGGATTTACCAAATGGATCTTTATTTTTCCTTGTTGAGAAAAAACCTGGTAGAGTAGTGCTTACTGTTGAGAATTCTTGGAGTTTTTAATGCAAAATGTAGGTATCCCAAAAGGTCTTAACAAAGTAAAGAACTAAGGATTATATTTAATCTTACAAGAAGAGATTTTGCTTTCTTGATCTACGGGTTTGTCCATTTTCTGTGAAGCTTCTTTTTATATTATTATTATTATTTTGGGGGAGAAGGTGGCTGTTTGGGGGAAGGTGGGGGCAGGAAGGCTTGAACATTGATCCTTCCTTGGAGGGGAGTTTCATTTACTTATTACACTATACCTTGGTCATGATGCATATATTATTTAATGAAGTTTGGTTGAATAAACTCGTTCTACAGTTTCAATGAGAAATTCAGAGATTTTAACATGAAGATTGGCTCTCCTTGCATTTTATTGCCTGTTACTCCGAGAACTAGTTTCTCCTATCTCATTTGTAGTTTTCATTGGTTGCTTGGGCTTATCTGCTGATGCTCCTGATTTTGGAATAGACATGATTATTTGACTATATCTTTTTCTCCATAGCCACCTTAATGTCTTTTTAGGTGAAAATATTTGGCCTATACATGTTCAGGATAAATTGTGATACTTTTTCCAACTCTTAAGAAAATGGTATTGTTGTTAGGCATGTTTTGCTAATTCTAAAACTTGTAGTGAACTGGCTTTAACTTTTAAGAAGGATATCCCTTTTTTCTCTTTTCCTACCATTGATTAATTTTCCTTTCTTTTCCAGGTGCAAGTACCGTTTCAGGTTTCTTTGCTTCATCTTGCAGTTTACCTTTTGATTATGTCAAAACACAAATTCAGAAAATGCAACCTGATGCTGAGGGAAAGTATCCATACAGTGGCTCTTTGGACTGTGCTATGAAGACACTCAAGTCTGGAGGACCATTCAAATTTTACACAGGATTCCCCGTATATTGTGTTAGAATTGCACCGCATGTCATGGTATTTACTTTGTATTCTTGTCCATATATGATTCTCTGATTCAAGTTTTTAATTATCCCTGATGATTGGCTGTTCTTCTATGCAGATGACTTGGATATTCCTCAATCAGATTCAGAAAGCAGAGAAAAAATTAGGGTTGTAGAGTTCTCGGATATGGGGATTAATGTTGGAGTCCATGGATCAAATAGAATCTTTATTTTAGGCTTTGTCGTATTCTTTCATGCTGGTTCTGGCAATTTCACACACCCTCGAAGTCAAACCACTTTGTTTACATTTTTTTTGGAAGTGCATTCGAAGTAGGGTCTATCAAGTTCTCTTACTTTACTTCCAGTAAATTTTAGGGTATGACGGAAGTAGGAGTCTAGCATTGCCATTTGAATATGACAGTCACTAATTTGAAAGTTCACAAGGAACTTATACCTTTTAAGTAAAATACATGTACTCTATAAACAGGTATTTGGGGAACCAAGTTCCAAGCATTGAATCTTGTATTTAACATTTCTTTTTTTTTTTTTAATTTTCATAAACAATTAAGTTTCTTGACAAATGTTGGTATCTTGCAATTATCATAGCATACTTTCTATTATATTTTCTAGTAACGTATTTATTGAGTCTATTATGGGTTTTTGTATTAATATTTAAAATATAATATGATGATATGATACAAATATAATATAAAAAAATAATAAAAATATGATTTAAAATTTTAACAATAACATTATATAAGTTTAATAAAATTAAAAATGTAATTTATATTTTTATATTGATGTAAATTATGAGAGGTAAGTTTCATATAAAATACGATATAAATATATAAATTTTATTATTTTATATGATATAAATATATAAATAGTTAGTTGTTTGTAGTTATAGGATTAAATGCTCAATTTAAAATATAAAATATAAATATTTTTTTAGTGAAAGATATTATTTTTAATTTGATTTAATTAAGAATTAAATGTCTTTTAGGTAGCTTAAAACAAGACTTGATAAAGGTTATGAGTTTAGAAGTTTTCTTAATTAAAGATATTATTTTTAATTTGATTCAATTAAGAATTAAATATTTTCTGGTTAGCTCAAATAGGATTTGCTAAAGGTAGTGAGTTGCACTTGCAGTTAAAATCCAATAACAGTTAAGTTTTTATATTTATTAGTAAAAAATCTTCATTTATGTAAAATTAAAAAAAAAAAAGAAATTAGCAAACAAGAGTCAATTTTTTTCGAAAATATCCAATAATCTTGAAGATTTGAACATTTTTGGATCTCTCTCTTTCTTGATCTAACACCACCCCAAAGTTAAACATTATTTTCTTTTTCAACCTTATTTCTTTAGAAATAAAACTAAAACTTCAGTATTTTTTTATTTAAGAGAGAGAATAAAGAGAGAAAGAGAGAAAGTAGAACCTGACCACCACCTTCTTCCTGTCCATTCTCTCTTCTTCTACCATCACCCTCTTACCTTTTTTTCTACACCATCCGATATCTGCTCGTCGACTCCACGCATCAATTGTTGGCAGGTATTTTTTTTTAACTATTTGGTGGATTTTTGGATGTTTAAATACCGAGAAATTGTAGGAAAAAAAAGAAAAATGATGGAGTTTGACAAGTATTTTTTTTAATCTTTTGGTGAATTTCTATGTGGAAGATAGAAATGATTGGTTAAGTTTGGTAAGTGTTTTTTTTTTTTTTTTGGGTGAATTTTTTTGGGTGTTTGAATGTTGAAAAAATATGGGAAAATAAAGGAAAATTATGGGTTAAGTTTGAAAAAAAAAATGATATTTTGGTTTTTTAAGTTGATTATATTTCTAAATTTGGTTTTGTCTTCTTAATCTTTCCTAAACCAATTTTGTTTTGAAAACCCTAAATCCCCTTTTTCATAGTAAATTTAGGTTTTCTTTTGTAATTTTATTTTAAACGACAAATTTTACTTGGTTAAAAGTGTGTTTTTACTGTTTAAATTTATGTATTACTACAATTCATACTAATTTTTTGCATTTAAGCCACAATCATAGTGAAACTCTTATTTGAACATATTTGAAAATTTTAATCTAAAATTGAATTAAATTAAAAATAAAATTTTTAATTAAAAAATACGTAAATATTATGTTTTTAATTGAGCATTTAGCCTAATTACAGTAACTAAAAATATAAGATTCATTCAAATTAAACTATTGTCAACCCCAGAAAAGTTGCCAATGCCAAGTGCCAACAATTTCATGTTTTACCTGATGATGTTGGCATTCTAGTGCTCGGCAAAAAATTAAACTGAAATACTAAGTGCATATTCAGATATTGATAAGCTAAACAGTCCAACACAATTTGACCATAGTAACTACCGTAATTAATTTTTTCTCGTGGGTTACATCAGAAGGGTAAAGTTCTAATACAAGTAAGTGGGAGGAGAAAAACCTGACTCAAAGTCTTTTCAAAACTTCAATAAAGTGCCTACAATATTTTGTTGTCAACGTTTCACTAATCCATATGAAATTCAAAACAACCATTTCAAGTTTTTTGGGCTTTTAAATTCAAGTTTAATCGCATAAGAATTTTGTTCAGTTTTATTTGTTTATTTTGTTTGTTTATTGGTTTTTTTTGTTAGATAGAATTACTTAAAGCTCCGCTTCCCTTCAGGGCATATATAATTGATGCTAAATAAATAATTATTAAATATAAATGAGGTCATTAAAAGTTAGTATATAATATTTATATATTTCAATGCTTATAATCGTGAAATATTAAAGAAATTAATTGAAATTAAAATAATTAATATCATAAGATTAAAATTGACTGTCAGTAACTTTTTATATACATACCAATTTTGAAATCTATTGAGAGCACAATTGTAGGTCACCTGAAAAGAAAAAAAAAAAGGAAGAGATTCTAATTTTTTTTTTTTAGAATAGTATACAACCAAGAACACCTAGTGTCATCTAACCAATATAACTACAACCTTTATCTAGCTAAGAACACCCAAAAATCGACCTCTTTTTCGTACTCGATAGGGAAGCCCCCTCAATCTTTTTTTTTTTTTTTTTTCCAGAGGACCAAACCATGGCATTCCTTTCCTTCTTTCTTTGGTCTCCCCTTTAAATCTATTATACAACTTGAAATTTTTTTTTCTTAACTAAACACACCAAATTTCATAAACAGACCTAATTTAAAAAAACCTAAGCTACTCATACTACTTTAAACAATAAAATAAACTCACAATAATCCATTAGAAAAAAAAAAGGAAGACAAAATGAGACTTTTTATCTCTGCACAAATTCGAAGCATAAACAAAAAAGCATACACCTATTTTGCCTTAGGCTTAAACACAACTCCAATTTTACTAGATTTTCAATCTTACAAACAATTACAAATCAAAATCCAAAATCATCCCAACGGAAGCAACAGAATAAACGTCATAAAAAGTTTTTAAAAAGAAATCAAAATAATGGGTGAGTTTTGGGTTTGAAAGGTTTTTGATGGGACATTTTTAGAATTGAAGATAGAAGAAAGCAAGCAAGGAAAACCATTGCCAGCAACGGTAATAGTGGTGGCAATCGACAGCGAGCGAGCTTTGCAGAATCTGAAATGGTTGAAAGCGAAAGCAAGGAAAGGGTAAAAACAAACTAAAATTTTGGGCCATTTGGAGTGGCGGAAGTGGGGTTTTAGAGGTTAAAGTAGACAGTTTTGGGCTTAGATCTAAGACAAATCAAGAAATTTTAGGAAAAACTAATTAGAGAAAAAGAAAGAGGAGGTGATAGGGAAGGTTGGAGTGAAATTTGAATATGAAGCGACAATCGTTGACTACAGTAGATGACGATAATGAGGAAACATCACCGGCATCTGGGTGGCTTTAGTTTTCAATGATGTTGGATTTTTAGAGAGAAAATCTCTCAAAGCTAGAAAGAGAAAGGGAAAAAATAAATAATAAAAAAGAAGTTAGAAAAATAAAGAAAAATAAAGATGAAAAAAAAAATGAATGAGAAAAAAAGAAAAGTAAAGGAGGTTGCTGGCCCGTAAGTCCAGTTTAAAAGTCGAATAAATTTGAGCCATAGTTATTATGAGTTTAAGTACAAAAATTCACCCACAAAATTCCATTATTTTTTAGTTTTGAAACAGGTTTTTTTTTTTTTCTTAAAAAAAAGTAGAAAAATATAGGAAAAAAATAAAAGAAAAAAATTGTTTTTTTTTTTAAATTTTCCCATTATCAGTTTTTCTTTCATTTTTTTAGAAATTTTTTCATAAAATGTTACAAAAAAGAAAAAGAAATAAGTGATTTTTTATTTTTTTTCTTTTAATTATTTCAATTTTTTTTTCTAAATATCTATTTTTCATAAAAAATTATAAAAAAAAACTAATAGCATTAGTCAATAATCACTAATAAATTAATCATCATCAATAATAATAAATACTATTAAAGTTATTGTGAGAAATAGAGAATTCCCAATTGAAGATTGCAATTGATAGTTAATAATTTTATATGAGGAATTATTGAACTCAGTTATATGCTTCCCTTCAGTATTCTTTTGAGGTGAAAGGAAAGATAAAAAGAATGAAGCTTTTCATTTATTATTTACAAGAAATAAAAGATTAAAATCTTAAAAATATACCATACATAAATAAAAATATAAAAATACATAAAAAACTATTTACTTAAAAATTATAATTTTTTACTATTTTTATTTTTTCAATTTCACAAAAAATATAATATACAATAAAATTGAAGGATCATATAATTGATCAAATAATTAAAGGAAAAAAAAAGATGCTAACATGACATGAAAATTTAATAAAATAATAAATATATTAAATATTTAATTTTTTTAACTTTTAATATTTAAAATATTTCATGTATATTAATTTTTTATTATTTTAATATTAAAATATATTACAAATAAAAAAGTTGACGAAGAAGGGTCAATCCTAGCGTAGCAAGGGCAAATTCTATTGCAATAGTAACACAATGTAAGATTACAAATTGTAACTAAGTAAACAAATGACAATAGTTATATAAATAAAACTATTAAGGAAAATACTAATTATTGAACCACATATATTATTTCAGGAAAATTAAACTACATATATTGCTCTTCCCAAAATACCAAAATTGCCCATTTAGATTTTCTCAAACCCAGAGTCATTTGCTAATAAAAATATTAATTATTAAACTATATAGATAGTTCTTGTCAAAATACCCAAATTGATTAATTAAACTTTTAAAAAACCACATATAATCCCAAAGACACTTATCAAGTAAAAAATCCTTGTATCAAACTTTGATATGTTTTTCAGCTTTCAAATTCTAAGTTTAATCCCATGTGGATTTTGTTCAGTTTTTATTTGGTTTCTTTGTTCGCTGGTTATTTTTATTAGTTGCAAGTATATTGGTTCGTGTTTCATTTCGGAACCTATATAATTTGATGTTAAAAAATTAATTATTAAATATAAATGAAACAAATAAAAGTTACTTCCTCCGGTCTATATTGTTTGTTATTTATTGATTTTTACGGAATTTAAAACAAATTGACTTTAATATTTTAATATTAAATTTTAAAATTTTTTTATTAAATTAAAGTTTC